TTTCTCCCGTCTGTTTTTTCGAAGCACTTTGAACCTCCTCCGGAGTGTGTGAGGAGTGTGTAGCTGTACATAGCGACTTCCTGTAACAACAAGTGCTCCTCGTTCAGTCTGAATATTTTGTTTCTGTCGGATTTACTTTTAAAGAGCATTACATTGTTGTAGAATTAAAGGAGAAATAAACTAGATAAACCTACCGTGTCTGTCTGCTCTGAACACACACACACACACACACACACACACACACACACACACACACACACACACACACACACACACACACACACACACACACACACACACACACACACACACACACACACACGGGAACACACTTCAATATCTATTTAATTACTTTTCTTATTCTATGTGTTAATTAGTTTTGCATACTATACCATGACTTAAACATCCTGTGTCTGTCTGCTCTGAACACACACACTTCAATATATATATATAATTACTATTCTTATTCTACTTTATGTTAATATTTTATTACTATGACTTGTAAACGTGGTGTTTGTTCTCACACTGATGGTATATCTGCAGCTGAACACACACACACACACACACACACACACACTTCAATATCTATTTAATTACTTTTCTTATTCTACTATGTGTTAATTAGTTTTGCATACTATACCATGACTTTTAAACGTTCTGTGTCTGTCTGCTCTGAACACACACACACACGGAAACACTTCAATCATGTTTAATGCATGTACTGGTTTACATCTCTAGAAATCAAGAAAATATTAAGTCACTGTCAAACATCAACGTCTACTTATTGAACCGAATACAGAGAAAGGAAAACAACCAAGAGAATCAGAGGAGCTGCTGTAAGTGTTCATGCTCACTGAGGAAGAGGAAGAAGAAGGGAGGAGGAGGAAGAGGAGGAGTGATGGATCTGAGGAAGCAGTTAAAGTGACTCCTGACGACGACTACACTTCACAGAATCAGCAGCATGTTGAAACAACACGAGGAGCACTTGCAACATGTCACAAACCATAAAGCGTTTAGATGCCAAAGGCTAGAGAGCGATCCTCAGAATAAAGCGCGAGTTTCACTTCAGATCCGTCGGTAAATGTGCAAAGTGCTGCTCCTCAGACCCTCTTCAGGACTAATGAGAGTAGTTATTAAACGTTGATTACATCATTAATCTCCCTGTCGACATCTTTAGAAACTCGTTTTTAAAAAAAAAATAGACTTGGCTTCACCGGCCGACTATTCCCTTTATCTATAAAACTCAGACGGCATTATTTACATCTCTGGAGGAACATTTCATAAAGTGGGTTCTCTTCTTCTGCAGATCTTCCACTTTCCAATGAAAGCACGCGTGAGGAAAGAGGACTCAGGTCGCAGGAGAGAGTGCAGGTTTATGGGAAGTTGCACGAGCAGCTGCACTATGTACAGGCAGTGTGTGTGTCTGTGTGTGGATCAAGGGTTCCTTCAGTTCCTCTTCATGCTCCAGGACTCACACCGATGACTGATCCCAGACCTGCAGGACAGAGACACAGGGTCACACTCTACACCAGGGCTTCTCAAACTCCGGACCATATGCTCTACATAATACTAATACATTTCATTTATATAGCACACTTTAAAAACAACGTCATCTCAAGTAGGGCTGCTCGATTATGGCAAAAATCATAATCTCGATTATTTGGGTCAATAATTGTAATTGCGATTATTAAATGCGATTATTCATTGACTTTGAAAACATCCATTTATTGGAGAAAAAAATGTAAACAGTATGTTTTTAACAGTTGATTACATTGAACTTTAAGTATACTTCAACTGAAANCGCCGTCTGCTGGTAAGGAGAGTTAATTGCCACTCAAGCATGCGCAGTTTGTACGTGCTTCTTGGCCGTCGGCTGAAGTCTTTGCGGTGTGTTCCATTGCGAAACATGGCCAAAACGCAGAGACGCGAGGCGACGCAACAGTCGGGGTCCATCTGTGTCAGTTCTTTGGTGTCAGCTTGGTGTGTCCGGGCCTTTAAATATAAAAAAGGCTCTGGGATGGTTAGTAGTTTTAAGCTCATGGAGGTGGAGTCCAACATCATCAGCAGTTAAAGAAGCAAGGCGGAATAATATCCTGAACGTTTGACACCTTTAGGTCAGGTGCGATCTCTACACCTCTACATCTTTATTGTCCCGCTGATTGCTGGATGTAGATGGAAAAAAGAAATCATCCGAGTGTGTGTGTGTCCGACAGTTATCCCTGAGTCGCTGCTCACCGGACCAGTGGTTTACCGCTAGCAACATCTATTTGTTTTCCTACTCCATTTCACCTTTGTGTGTGTGTGTGTGTGTGTGTGTGTGTGTGTGTGTGTGTGTGTGTGTGTGTGTGTGTGTGTGTGTGTGTGTGTGTGTGTGTGTGTGTGTGTGTGTGTGTGTGTGTGTGGTAGGCTGGTATATGTTTCTCCTCCTCTCGTGGAAAGCAATCTCCTAGGTTGAGCTCATAAATCAGGGTGGGGGGATGGAAATGTGGATTGAGAATGTGTGTGTGCGACTCTTTCACCAAGCTCATACCTGTCGTTAGTGTGCAGGGGGGGGGTGCATCTCCTCAGATGTTGTATTTGCTTTTGCTTGACGTCAACGCAGTGTCAGCCTCTTTGTTGATGACATGAGCGATCTTTCTCCTTCCTCTCTTTCATGGCCTCCCATTTCCTTCCCCGCGCCGGGATTAGACCACGGGGTGCCCCGTTGAAAATGAATAGCGATTTAGGAAACTAATGAGCTGTAATGGACAATGTGCCCTCAGAGCAATGGTAATGCAGTCACTCATAAGGCAAACTCCTCCCACTGTGTGAGAGAAACCTGTGGCAGAGGGAACGATGTCTGGTTTTGCTGATGACAAGCTCCACGAGGTGACCTGCCTGCTTCATCTCTCCTCTCTTTCTGTCATTCACTACCTCCCTCTCTCGTCCCGTTGACTTTGTGTAGCAGATGTCATTTACAATGTGACACTAAATGACGTAGAACTCTATGAAACTAGATAAAAAAACACTAGATAAAACATGTTAAGACGTCCATCCATGCAGACACCCAATATAGTATGAAGAGAACCGGGTGCCTCCACTCTATTCCAAACGAATGATGTCACAATACCGAAAATGTAGAGATTGATACCAGTACCAGTGATATTCCATGATTCAAACCAGTTCAATACGACAGTGAAAAAACATTATATGCTGTTTACTTCAACATACACAAGTCAAACAGGTCATCATTTCCTCCTAAATCTGTTTATATTATTGTGAAAACACCTCAAACAACTGTAGTTATTCAAGTTTCACACCCAAACAACATTTATTTATCAAAATATCGAACCATATCATTTCCTTAAATACAGATTTTATTTCTTGAAAAGGCCGTATTATGCTTTCTAAGGTATGGAAGCCCATTTCCGCCACTTGAAAAAAATTAAATCCCCATGAAAAGTCATAATGAGATAAAAAAGTCGAAATTATGAGATAAAAAGTCATAATAATGAGATAAAAAGTCATAATAATGAGATAAAAAGTCATAATTATGAGATAAAATAGTCGAAATTATGAGATAAAAAGTCATAATTGTGAGATAAAATAGTCGAAATTATGAGATAAAAAGTCATAATGAGATAAAAAAAAGTCGAAATAATGAGATAAAAAGTCATAATTATGAGATAAGAAGTGCGCATGCGCTGCAGTGGCGCTGTCTTCAAAGGTCCCTTCATCACTGCTGCTCTCCACCATGCAAACGGCATCTAGTCCTAAATAAGGTAACTATTACAGGTGACTTTTGTAAATGTTAGATGTTACATATAGCCTATATTGCAGCTAAACTACAAGAATGCAGTTCATAGCTTTGACATGACGTGTTATGAACTATAATATATATGCCTATAGTTTTGTGGTAACGTTCACGCCACTAATGACAATAGGCATACTGCTGCTGTGAGTTGCTAGCCTAAATTAGTGGCGTGAACGTTACCACAAAACTATAGGCATATATATTATAGTTCATAACACGTCANTACCTATCTGCCTGTGTGTTTTCGTCATTATTACAACAAACACACACTTGCAACTGATAACACTGGCAATGATTTTAGATGTATTAGACTATTAAAAAAAGAAATCATGCTTCAAATAAGTGGGGGTACGGCGTACCCCCGCGTCCAACGCCCACTACACCACTGACTGCAACTACAAAAAGCTAAGGTTTGTTTTCTCATCAGGAAATGCACACCGGCTCAAACAAAAGATTTTTAAATCATCATCCTCACGATCATTTAATGTATCATATGTTCGCCGAATTGACATGAAAGCACTAATAAATGTAGTTTCATCCACTTGAGTTTACAAAAAGAATCGATTTGTTTTTATATCACATCCGACGGGAGGAAATTCAGCAGCTCTCACTACCGATTTTTAATCCTAATTTAATCATCATCTTCACCACGATCATTTATGTTTATGTTCGCCGAATTGACATGAAAGCACTGACAAATATGAATATACTGTAGTCAACTTCATTAAAACGTTATTAACGTGCCTAAACTCAGTAATTCACCATTTCTACGCATGACAACATACTTTGTCCGTGTTTGGCTCTCTCGCCGCACAGTTAAGCATTCTCGCATTGACGTCACTTCCGGCTTCCCCCAAAACTGCAAAATGAGTCGAAGGAATTTTCCCGCGATGTTCGAAATTATTGATATTTATCGGAACGGTATCGCTTTTTCTTTTTTAAACTGACGGTTCGAGATTACTAGTAGCCCACTATTTCATTGCACAACAGTTGTTGGGTTCGTGTCACAGGCTCTTTAAGGTGTCGTG